AACTGCAGGGTGGCGGCTGAGCCCCGGAAAGTTTCCCGAGGCTGCGGGACACCCCTTCGGGGGAACCCCCTTCCACACCCACCTCCCCCCCACACCCCCCATCACTGCTCAGGGCCCGCCCTAAATGCTGGGGGATCGTGTGCCTTCCCCACCCCCACTCCACCTGGATGTACCACTACACGAAACCAATGAAGTCTGGCTTTTCCCGAAGACTACTCAGATGCTTTATATGGGAAACATTCTTCCCAAACGGCCACCCCTTTCAGCGTCCTACCTTCCTGAACCTTCGGTGTGTGTTTAGGGTCCCAGCTGGGATCAGCGCTGCCGCGGGAGGGGAGGGAAAGACCTGCCTTGGGTGGTTGGGGAAACCCAGTCCTGAACCAAGAGTTACCCAGGGCGTGTCTCACGGACCCTGCCAAGCAGCCAAAAGGGGAATCAAGAGTTTAAAAGGGAGTCGAGCCAAATTAATGAAAGGTTCAAAGTCCTCTTTGTCAACTGAGTGGATTTGCAGGCGTTTAGCTTGTCTGGTATTTCCAGCCCTCCCCCCACCCCACCCCCACGCTCCGGCGCTTACAAACAAGAGCGTTCCAATGAGATGAGCACCCCTCCTGATGTTATTGGGCATGCCAGCATTTGTTGGGGATAGAAAAGACCTGGGGCCCAGCGAGCCAGTGGCTCAGTGGTTGGCCTATGAACCAGGAGGTCAAGGCTGGATTCCTCTGCAGGGCATATGCTGGATCCCCAGTGGGGGGCGTGCAGGAGGCAGCCTATCAATGATTGATGTTTCATCATTGATGTTTTTCTCTCTCCCTCTCCTTTCCTCTCTGAAATCAATAAAAAATATATATATATTAAAAAAAGACCTGGGTTGGCTCGGTGGATAGAGCGTCGGCCTGCGGACTGAAGGGTCCCGGGTTCGATTCCGGTCAAGGGCATGTGCCTTGGTTGTGGGCACATCCCCAGTAGGGGGTGTGCGGGAGGCAGCTGGTCAATGTTTCTCTCTCATCGATGTTTCTAACTCTCTATCCCTCTCCCTTCCTCTCTGTAAAAAAATCAATAAAAAATATTTAAAAAAAAAAAAAAAGACCTGGGAACAACCGTCCTAACTGATCAGGGGACTAGATCAATGAAACGTGTTATAGTCATTTGACGAATGTTGTAAAGTTTCATGCCGTTTACTTATAAATGGATTTGAAGCAAAGAGCAAAATGTTGTCAACTCTGAATGGTGAATGCATAATTCTGTATTTTTTTATTTTCTTCCCCCAAAATATGTATTGGGGCTGACAGGGAATATTCTGAATATGTCTTAACTTTGTGACAGGGGTCAGCAAACTTTTTCTGTAAAAGGCCAGCAAATATTTTAGGCTTTACAGACCATGTGTCTGTTGGCAAGAACTCAGCCACTCTAGCAGCCGTAGACAAAAGAAAATGAATGTGTGTGGCTGTGTTCCAATGAAACTTTATTTACAACACTGAAAGTTGAATTTCACATAATTTTCAGATCACACAATATTGTTTTGGTTTTTCTTCAAACACTTAAAATGTATAAAACATTCTGAGCTGATAGGCCCCATGAAAACTGGTCGCATGCCAGACTGGGCCTGTGGGCAATAGTTTGGCAACCCTGCTTTACTAAAGAAACCAAAATAGATACTGGTTGATGCCTTTGCCTGTTACATGTTAAAATATACAATTCTGTATGTTTACATCGTGTTACTGAATTGCCTGTGTTTTGTTAAACTAGCAAACAGGCAGAAACTTAGTTATATGTGCAGCTGTGTAAAGTTAGAAGCCAATTATGTGAGAAAGGTAAAAAAAGAGTCCATTCAAATCTAAACTCTAGCCCAAAATCAACTTCTGGAAGAATTTCCTTAAATGCTGTGATCCGGGCCCTCCTTGTCCTCTCTCCTCTCTGATCTCCTATAGCAAGGACTGAACCATTTATTTGATGCTCAGCTACCCAGTCATTATTTTTCATTTTTTTAAAAATATATATATTTTTATTAATTTCAAAGAGGAAGGAACAGGGAGTGATAGAAACATCAATGATAAGAGGGAATCATTGATCAGCTGCCTCCTGCACGCTCCCCACTGGGGACTGAGCCTGCAACCCAGGCATGCACCCTGACCAGGAATTAAACTGTGTTGCCGAAACCGGTTTGGCTCAGTGGATAGAGCGTCGGCCTGCGGACTGAAGGGGCCCAGGTTTGATTCCGGTCAAGGGCATGTACCTAGGTTGCGGGCACATCCCCAGTAGATGTGCAGGAGGCAGCTGATCGATGTTTGTCTCTCATCGATGTTTCTAACTCTCTCTCTCCCTTCCTCTCTGTAAAAAAATCAATAAAATATATTTTTAAAAAAAAATAAACTGTGACCTCCTGGTTCATAGGTCGACACTCAACTACTGAGCCACGCTGCCTGGGCTATTGTTTACTTTTCACTAGTGCATTCTGACTTGCCAATAGAGCTATAAATTCCTGGAATATAAATAGGTACTACAGCTGATTCATTTGTTTACATTCAGCTTTGTGGTTGAAAACCGTGTGGTCATGCATACCTAGTTCAGATCCCAGCTTTGATAGTTATCAGCTCTGTGGCCTTGGACATGTGACTCTGGTTTCATCAGCTAAATGGGATAATAAACCAAGGGCACAGGCTGGGCTTGGGGTATAAATACAATCGTGTGGGAAACGATCATAGCTCAGTGCCTGGCATGTAAACATTCAAAGGCATTTGGCAGAGAGCAAAAGCCCCATCAACCGTGTTGCCTTTCTAATTAAAGTGAATTAAAACAACTGGCAGAGAACATCACAAGGGTCTTTCCTTGACATTCACCCCTCTTGTGATAAGAATCATCCCACTCAAAAATCATTTTCTTCTCAGCAACGGGAAAATAAGAACTGGCTTTGTTTTTTGAGGCTTCCCCTCCAGGAACACCAGAAAAAGAAAAAGAAAAAAAACTATGCTAGGCACACAGAGCTTGTTGTCTTGACAAGAGAGTGCCAGGAAAACAAGTAATCAGAGCATCCAAATCTTCTTTTGAAGAAAACTTGGACAGTACAGAGGAGGGGCTGAAAAGCAAGACTTTAAAAGTATCTCACCCACTGGGACAGAGCTCCTGCCAAGGCTCTGTCCTCTCCTTCCTGAACTGTTGGGTATCCTACCTGTGTTGTTCACTGAAGGTTCCACCTCCCAACCTTAAACATCCAGGTAGAGACATCAGGGTTAATCACACCATTATTCACTGAATTCTTTCCCAGTCAACAGGACAATAGAAAAATGCTGGCAAAAAAAAAAAAAAAATGACCCTGAGAAGTTTGACTCCAGCAGGCAGTGAGGTTGGTATGTTTGTTAGTTTCAGACACAAACAACAGTATAAAAGGGGAAGTCAGCCCAGGCACAGACGAAGTTCTTCATTTGTCTTAGGGGTACTATGAGAAGGATTGTCTTAGGGGTCCTATGAGAAGGATTGTCTTAGGGGTCCTATGAGAAAGACTGTCTTAGGGGTCCTATGAGAAGGATTGTCTTAGGGGTACTATGAGAAGGATTGTCTTAGGTGTAATATGAGAAAGATTGTCTTAGGGGTCCTATGAGAAAGACTGTCTTAGGGGTACTATGAGAAGGATTGTCTTAGGGGTACTATGAGAAGGATTGTCTTAGGTGTAATATGAGAAAGATTGTCAGGGGTCCTATATGAGAAAGACTGTCTTAGGGGTACTATGAGAAGGATTGTCTTAGGGGTACTATGAGAAGGATTGTCTTAGGTGTAATATGAGAAAGATTGTCTTAGGGGTCCTATGAGAAAGACTGTCTTAGGGGTACTATGAGAAGGATTGTCTTAGGGGTACTATGAGAAGGATTGTCTTAGGGGTACTATGAGAAGGAACAAAATCAGTGTAACCACCAAAAACATCAGGACCGATTTTAAGACACTTTGAACCAGTAGAAATGTTCAGGATATGAAGGTGGACACAAAGGAGGTCTGGTCTATATTGAGTACTAGATAAACGACAACTGTTACTATCAATTATGTGTTCAACAACAAACTCCAAACTCGGAACAGGCAGCTCTTGGGTAATGCACCCACTAGGTGGGATTCTCAGCTCTGGAACCTACTAGCTGTGTAACCTTGCGGGAGCCCCTGACTTCACCTCCTTACGCCTCAGTCTGTACCTGTTAAATGGGGTTAATGCTATTCTTTACCTTTTAGGATGGCAGTGAAGGTTACATGTGCTGATACACATAAGTAACTTACAGTAGGCCCTCTGGAAGTGTCAAGCTGTTTGTTCCTACTGCCCCAGGCTGGCCACACTCAACACCAAATCTGCTGGGTAGAATTCCCACCATGCCCAACCACTGGGTCTGGTCACACCTTTCTCCTCCTCCCCTTTGAGAATACATCCTAAGATCTCTTATAAACCCAAATGCCCACTGGCTATTTAGCTGCAATTTCCTCCTCACCAAATCCTTTCCCCCATTTAACCAAATCATCAATTTTTATACCCCTAATTATACCAGTCTGACTTACTTGGGGGGTGGGGGGGAGCCAATTAGCTATAACCCAGACATGTTCTGAGTTTGGGGATCACCGATGTTTCCAACGTTCCTTTTAACCCACTATCCTCCCCTGGAGAAGATGGACCCTGACAACCAATCTAAGTCACAGATGATGGGGAGCCATGGCCTCTTGATATTAGCTTTGGATTCCATCCTGCCAGGGTGAACGAGCAATCTGAGAGCAGAGTCGGGCATGCAAACTGCATTTGCACAGGGCTCTTTGCATTAAGGGCCCTTCACATTCTGTATTAAGGCTCTGCTTAATATATAGACCTTGTAATTTTACTTTGCACTGGGCCCCACAAATGATGTAGCCAGTCCTGGTCAGGTTGGCTGACTACCTGAAGGGTCAGCTGAGCAACCTTGCCCCACCTCTTGGGCCTTCTTACACTGAGGCAGAGGGATTAAGATCACTTCTTAGATTGGGAGGATCTAATCAATGTTTAAACACATAGAATATATTTGGGAGAATAAAAAGAAACTGATAATAGTCATGGTAACCCCTAGGGAGGAGGAATTATTTTACTATACAGTCTTTAAGAATATATCATTTTTACCCTCTACAAATGTAACCTTTCAAATAAATTTAAGGAAAGATTTTTAAACATCAACATACCAATTAATGTCTCTATCTCCACATTGAATCTCTTGTTTCCAGAGCAGCCATCTTTGGCCAGCAAAACACTCTAGTGAGTGGGAGTCATTTTACTCTGCTTCAGAGAGCTTTGGAGATAAATTATTTCCCAGCGGCAGGTTTAAATTGAACAGAGAAAGAGCCAATGATAGAAGCTGCAAAATTCGGTTGGTGTCTTGTTGCTGTTTTGGACTTGAAACGGGTTTTTCTGTGAACGCTCAAGGATAGCAAGTTCATGAACAGAAAGAGCAATGACTGGCGTCTGCTTAATTGCAGGGTTGAGTAAATTAGATGCACTGTGTGTTTGAGTGATGGCATCTACACAACTTTGAGCTTCAGACGCTTTCTTAATTTATAATCACCTTATTCATGATGAATTCCTAGACTTAAGTTATCACCATCCCTCACATATAGTTATAGAAAAAAATATAACCAGGCAGAAGATATAAGAAAGCCAACACCAAGAGAGTGAATGAAATATGCTTGTCATTGGTCCAAAAACTGTAAACACATCTTTTCCTTCTTAACTTCCGTCAGGGACCAACATGTACTCAGGAGGACACAGGGGCCCACAAAAGCACCATTCGATCCTACAAAGCAGGGATGCTTCAGAAGGAAATTCAAGCAACAGAAACACCTGTGCTTACGAGAGCTACCAACACCCATATGTGTAAACAAATTTACATAATGGTGGAGAGATAGCACAATTTCTAATAAGATATTGGCAATTTTGCCCAGAAAGAACATAATCTTTAACACTTATACTAACAGGTGTTTATTAACAAAAGTTGATGTCTTTGCTACCAGAAGGTAAAGGGAGAACAAAACAAATATGTATATTCTAGCAGCAAAACAAGACAAACGAACCCTAATGCAGTCTATTGACAAAACAGGTATAAAAAACATCATGTAGCCCGGCCAGCATGGCTCAGTGGTTGAGCATCAACTTATGGTTACGGTTTGATTCCCTGTCGGGGCACAGGCCTGGGTTGCAGGCTTGATCCTAAGTCGGGGGAGTGCAGGAGGCAGACACACACAATCACACACACACAATCACACATACACACACACACTCACACACACACACTCACACACACACACACTCACACACTCACACACTCACACACACACACACACTCACACACACATCATTTATGTGGAGGGAGTGTAAACAAGTCCAGAATCTTGCACTCTGCAGCATGGCCCCGCAGGGATGTTCTCACTAGAGGTGGTTTATCAGGGGCACCCCGTGAGAGGGCAGTTCCTGATGCAGCTGCCGGAAGAGCATCGCACAGCGGTTCCTCTCCTGGGTCTTCCCCAGAGTGTGGTAGAGTCGGGCCTGGAAGTAAACGACATCTCTGATTCGCTCTTTGCAGTCGACCTTTGCAAAATAGTTCTTGGCTTCATTGAGGTTCTCAATGGCGGCCTCCAGAGCTGATGGAAAAGGGGGGACATACCACACCTGTTTAACTCAACACTTTTATTGATTTAACATGTTCCAGACACTTTTTTAAAAATGTTAACTTAATTTTGTGTTTACTAGCTTTTAAACACATATTTAAATTTATCTTTTAATTTTTCAATTACAGTTTACTTTCAGTGTTATTTTGTATTGGCTTCAGGTGTACAGCATAGTGATTAGGCAATCATCTACTTTACAAAGTGTTCCCCCTGATATTTCCAGTGCCCACTTGGCATCATACACAGTTATTGCAATATCGCAGTGTTCCCTATGCTGTAAAGATACTTCTATATTCAACTCTTTGAGGAGGAAAAAACCCACTAGAGTCAGGTTTTATAAAGGGCCTTTAGCCTTGACTTCCTGCTCGGTGCCTGATTCTACACTCATTTGCCTTCAGCCTTCATGACAAACATGCATGTGAGAAAGCGCTTTAAATGCTGCCTGAAATTTTAACATAAAGTTATGAACACTCAGAACTTAAATACTGTCCCAAATGTAATGTCTTTTCTTTTTCCAGGTCGTACATTTTAGACGTTTGCTGCAATAGCATTGCCTAACAACCTTGGTACGGCTTCCTACCTTCTGCTTTGTTCGGTGGATCATAGGAAGCTGCTGAAGCCACCTGGCACTTGGCCACCAAGAACATGGCCCGGCCTTTGTCCAGGACAGCTCCGTCAGCCAAGATGGGCTCAATGGCCATGTGCAGAAGACTTAAGGCCTGTTCTGGGATTCCAAGGATGAGCTGGAAAAGAAACATCGTGGCGCTATACACACCCACAGGCACTACCCACTCCAGGGAGGGCTTCCTTTCTGGTCCTTCTCTCCTGAGGCCATGTCTGGCTTAGCTTCTCCCTGACATGTACTACATTTAGTGTGCACCATCCTCTTAGAAAACATAAGGTGCGACAATCTGATTTCAGACAACGATCGATACAGTAGGGAGTAGTTATTCACACTATGGGGAAGTTTTGTCTTTTTTACAAAAAGATTCAACACCAAATCCTTTAGATTGGCAATTCCCAAAGGGTTGAATTAGCTGTGTAAGGATCACTGGAGGAAGAGGAGGCTCTAAGAAAATATCTCAAAAGTATATAGTAAAAGAAACAATAGGGAATTAAAATGATATGCTAGCCCTAACCGGTTTGGCTCAGTGGATAGAGGGGTCCTAGGACTGAAGGGTCCTAGGTTCGATTCCGGTCAAGGGCATGTACCTTGGTTGTGGGCACATCCCCAGAAGGGGGTGTCCAGGAGGCAGCTGATTGATGTTTCTCTCTCATTGATGTTTCTAACTCTCTATCCCTCTCCCTTCCTTTCTGTAAAAAAATCAATAAAGTATATTTTAAAAAATAAAAATAAGTAAATAAAATGATATGCTAGAAAACATCTATTTAACACAATAGAAAGCAGTAATGGCAGATATGAGGAACAAAAAAGATGTAAGCATATAGCAAAAAAATAGCAAAATAGAATAAGTCCATTCTTATGCATAATTATGTTAAATGAATGAAACTTTTCAATTAAAAGAAAGACTGGCAGAATAGATGAAAAAGAATGTAATCTTATGATTACAGGAGAAAGAATCCTCAACAAATATTAGCAAACCAAATCCAGCAGCATATTAAAAGAATTGTACACCACAACCATCTGGGATTTATCCCAGGAATCCAACAGTAGTTTAATATAAAAAAAAATAAATCAATTTAAACCGAATTATTATATGTTAGCAATTCTACTCTCAAGTATACCCAAGAGAAATAAAACAATATCCACACAAAAACTTGTACGTGAATGTTGAGATCAGCCAAATGGTGAAACAACCCAATGGTCCATCAACTGATGAATAGTTAAATGAAACATGTATACATCCAATGGAATATGATTCAGCTGTAAAAGGGTTGTAGTACATGCTACAACATGAATGAACCCTGAAAAGATTACACTAAATCAAGAAGCCAGTTTCAAAAGGCCAGATATTGTATGACTCCATTACATGAAATACACAGAATAAGCAAATCTATAGAGACAGAAAGTAAATTAGTGGTTGCCCGGGCCTGGAGTGACTAATGGGAAAGGGTTTCTTTTTGGTGTAATGAAAATAATCTAGAAGTAGATAGTGTGATTGTTGCAAAACACTGTAGATATTCTAAAATATTATATATAGATAGATATTAGTATATACCTATAGATATAATATAGATATTCTAAAATCCACTTAATTGTATATTTTAAAATGGTTAAAATTATGACTTTTAGGTCTCGTGAATTTTATTTTATTTTTTCTATTATCAGAGAGGAAAGAAGAGGGAGAGAGAGAGAGAGAAACATCAATGATGAGAGAGAAGCATTGATAGGCTGTTTCCTGCATGACCCGACTAGAGATCGAGCCCACAACTTGGGTATGTTCCCTGACTGGGAATCCAACCGTGATCTCCTGGTTCATAGATCGACGCTCAACTACTGAGCCACACTAGCTGAGCATGAACTTAAGAAAAAATTATTCATTCTATAACTATTAAAAGCCTACTCTATGTGTAGGTCCTACTAGGTACCATGGGATACAGTAGGGAAAAAACAAGTGTCCCTTCTCTCATAGCCTTTCCATTCTACAAAGGGAGACAGAAAACAAACATTAAAAAAAAATTTCATTTCTAAAACCTTTCAATGAACATATGACTCCTTCACTTCTTTATTCTATTCATCCCCTTGTTAAATCAAGCATAGCTCTGGGCCAGCTGACCATTAATATGATGCAAATGTCCTTAATGAAGAGGCAAGTTCCCTTTACTGAATACGCAGCCAGGGCCACTAGGAGGTGTCAGCCTGCCACCAAGTTCACAGTGGAGGGCCTGCCATGGAGACTGCATTCCCAGGCTTCAATAGTGAGAAGTGAAAGCTCATTATAATCCTTTCAAAACCAAAAAGTAGTACCAGATCTGCCAGTTCTTGAGTACAAATATATGCTAAAATAAACAAACAAACAAAAAACAACACAAAACAAAACAGAGATCAGCTTACCTGGGCAAAAGCCAAGTTCAACACTGTTTCAGAGGCCAAGTACTGTAGCCGGTACTCCTTGGAGAGGGCCAGCGCCTGCAGGAGCACGGGCAGTGCAATGGTAGGGGAGGAGGATCGCCAATACAGCTCTGCCACAGACAGCAGGACACTGCCGAAAACGGGAGGACAGTATGAGAATGTCCACCACAAGGCACCATCTGCAACATGCATGAGAGACCCCCTCTTACCTGATCACCATTTCTGTGTTTCTGATTTTCTGACAATGAATCAATAATTTCTGTAAAAGCTTGTGTGCCTCTGTCATTTGATTCTGAGCCTGTAGTACAACTGCTTTTCTGACACAAACAAAATAAACATACTAGTAAATGGTTATGTTGACGTTTTGCAAGGGTTATAAGTATAGTCACTTTCAGGGTTAGAATCCCTAGTTCCTCAATTACAATGTAATCCCAAAAGGGAAGAACTGTGCCTAATATAATTTTCGTTAAAAGAAGAAAAGTGTGTTTATAAGCACATATGTGTGTGTATACACACACACACAAACACAAGAACAAAGTCTGGAACTATAGATATCACAATGTTGGTGATTATCTCTGGGTGGTACTTATTTTCTCCATTCTGCTTATCTGTATTTTCTCATTTCCTGTAATAAATAGAAAAAAGGTTTTTCTCTGCCCTGGCTGAGTGGCTCAGTAGTTTGGAGCATCATCCTGTATACTAATAGGTTGCAAATTTGATCCCAGGTCAGGGCATGTATGGGAGACAACCAATGTTTCTCTCTCACATTGATGTCTCTCTCTCTCTTATTGTCCGCTACCACGGCCCTCCCTCTCTCTAAATATATCCTTGGTGAGAATTTTTTTAAAAAGAAAATAGGTTTTTCCTAAGCTAAAGTTGATAAATTAATTCACACACAAAACATACAAGAATAAAGCCACCTGAGAATGAATTCACTCTGGGTTGGAGTCCTCCACTTTCTTACCTATATACACCCTCAGTGCTATGAAGAGCTGTGATTCCTGTAACAAGTGAGTCAGCCAAGTGATATTTGCCATCATGCATGGCTCTGTCAAACTGTATTTTCTGATCACAGAGCATCCATAACTAATAAGAAAAAATATAATTAGGGACAAATGACAAGTGTTCACCTCATTATCTAACAGAGATGAAAAAGTATTTGTGCTTGCTTAGCAAATATCCTAACAATTCAAACACATTTTTAATTTTTGCAATTAAAAAAATATTTCAAGTATGGCCCTGGCCAGTGTAGCTCAGTTGGTCGGTCATCGTCCCATGCACATGCTGGGTTATGGGCTCAATCTCTGGCAGGGGGCATGCAGGAGGCAGCTGATTGATGTTTCGATCTCACATTGATTTTTTTTTCTCTCTCTCCCTTCCTCTCTCTCTAAAAATCAATAACAAATATTTTTTAAAAAAATATTTCAAGTATGTGAACAAGCATTAATAAAAAAACAAACACATGTGTGCAAATCATCAACTTTGTCAAATCACATTTTGCTTTCTTTCCTTCAGATACTATTAAGACTACTGAAGTACTTTACAATTTCTACTCCCTTCTCTATGTTTCCAAAGTAAGCACTTGACTTGGTATCTATCATCCCCATTTATGTTCTTATACTTTTACAACACACATACTTATCCTTAAACAGCATGTAGTATGATCTTGCACGTTTTTAACTTTGTATAAATAAATAGTATCATACTGTACGCATCCTTTGACAACTTGCTTTTAAGCTCAACATTATTTTGGGGGTTTACACATATTAATACAAGAAATTATAGTTCATTCCTTTTCACTAATAGTTTTCAATTATATGAATAAGTGACAGCTTATCTATTCTCGGGTTGATGGGTATTAGGTGGTATCGATTTTTCACTCTTCTGAAAAATGCTGCAATAAACACTTTCACATACCTCTCCTTGTACAAGTTATCTCAGGGATACAGCAAGCAGAGGCAATGCTGGGTTGTAGCACATATGCGCTTCACTTTAATATAGAAGCCCTTTGTTCTTCAAATGGACTGTACCAGTTTACAGCCCCACCAGGAGCCTATGACATTACCCTCTGCTCCACATTCTCACCGACAATTGCTACTGTCAGGTATTTTACTTTTGGCCAATCTGATTGGTATGAAGTATCTCATTATTATTTTAATTTGTAGTTCCCTGACCACCGGTCAGGTTGATACATCTATCTGCCATATAGTTTTTTTTCTGTAAACTGTAATTAAATTGCATCTTTATTTTACTGTACACCTTCTTGGTTACAGCTAGAACTGCAATGGAAATTATTTCACCCATTAGCACTACCACGGAACCACATTTCATCCTTGGGTGCTATCTTCTGTCTTGTTTCCCCTCTGGGTGCTCTGAGTTCACACGTCAGCACAGCTCACATGCTCACACCTTATCTAACCACCTATGTGAATGACCACCCCAGGGACCAGCAGTGGGAGATTCCCAGGCCTTAATCCTGAAGACTAAACACGGTAAGGGAAGGAAGAGAAAGAAGGCCCTTGTAACCGTGTTTTCAGCCCCTTCAGAGACGAAAGTCAGTTCAGGGAGAAACAGAAGGCCAGGACAGCCCTCTGGGCACAACATCTTCCCACAAGGTTATTCAGTCCTGGGAGGAAAAGATTAGGGTTGCTAAGTACGAGACAAAATAACAAAACTGAGACCTAATTCCTGATCTGTTGAAGGACGTTGATAATTTCTTTTCTTATCCCTGCACAGTTGGAGATGTTAAGAATACTAATTTAAAACCATGAAGACAAGAGCAGGGGAAGTCCCCTGCTTTAAATCTTTTCTCAGAGTTTATTTCTCAGGCTTCTTGAAGAGAGCTTACAGAGTCTCCTAAGTAAGTACCCATGTTGACCTCAATGCTTGTATGTTACAGAAGAACTGACATGAGAAACTGAGGGGAGATTCTACATGAGCACACTTTGACACCAGTACAGTAAAAACGGTCTTTTCACAAATAAACCCGAGGTCACACAGAGAGCATACCTGGGCATGCTGACTATTCGGTGGGAATCTTTCCTTCAGGTGCTTCAATACCTCGGAAGCTGCAGCGAAACAGCCCTAAACAGAAAGACAGGATGTGATGAGCACACCTGTGCAGCCACACCTGCTGCACCACGAGCAGGGAGCAGACAGGATTCACCCTCCTTGGTGCGGCCAACCAGACCTGTCCCTGACGTGCCCAATGCCCTTCTCAAGCATAGAGGAAAGAACTGGCAGAGCCTCCCTTGCTCCAGAAGCCCACCGACCTGGCCACCTCCTACCTGCTCCGCATGCAGCTCTGCGAGGTGGCAGAGCGCGACCGCAAACGATTCCGTGTTGTTCTGCTGCACGCCCGCATTCACCGACTCCAGGCTGTTCATGCTCAGCAACATCTGGGCTTGCTGCAGCGCCATGGTGCTGGGGGAGGGGACAAACAGGGACTCCCATCCATCAAGGGAACCAGGCTGCCCTCCGCCACACCCCACACTTCTCTTGAGTGCAAATGGAAGGAAGTTAAGCCCCACTGCAAGTTCTGGCTTTGTGGGAACGGCTGCCTCCCAGGAAAGCGGGAAAGCACCCCGATGTGCAGCCCCAGAGGAAACGTAGTGGTTATGGCACAACAGGGAGCTCTGAGCGCCAGACACCCTCCTCCCCATTGCCTGTGGTCACGGTGTATTCATTCGTTTTCATGGGTAAATTCAGACCCGATGCCACCCTGGTACCAGTTGCTGTGGCAATATATTCAGTGGCCAGTGTCTGCAGTTGTTTCAGACCACATCCTGCCAAAAAATTATCTCACATACAAAACCCAGACTGGCCATATAGGCACTTCCTTTCATTACTGAATTCCTAAAGATAACAGATTGTTTAGGTGAGAGGTAAGGTTGTGACAGGACTCCAGGATGAAAAATCTGGTTCAGAAGTTTACTTCCAAGCTAGAGACGCAAAACAGAAATTAAACACAAGGCTGGAGATATTCCAGAGAACACAACTTGAGTGACCATGGCCCATGCCTCCTGCGAACAGAAAGAGGCGCTGCCCGTCTCAGAGCACAAGGGCACTGTGCTTGGAGTCAGAGGACACCGTGGCTCATAAGTGGCTCTGTCACTTATTAACTACACTGTGGTCCTGGGCAGATCAGACAGATGTGTGAACTTTGGTTTATGCATCCTACAAGGGAGATCTGCCAGCCTCCACCCGTCTCTAAAAGGACCCACACCCTATGGCCTTGACTGTCTGCCTGAAGACTGACCTGCGGCCATAGAGCCTCCAGATGGCCGTTTTCTGGGCGATGCTGATGTCGATGAGCTCTGACAGGCTGTGTTTCCAGTGCAGGAGGTCAGAGTCCTTTAGAGCATCCATCAGTTTATTTGCTGTCTTCCCAGCAAAAGCCCTCTGCTGAACTAGGGATTGGATGCCCAGGGAGGCAAGGTACTAAGGGGACAAATAGAGATTTTACATGACGAGTTTGTTTTGCTCTTCAGAAATTTGGCATATTTCACACTTTAGCACATGCACAGTGACAACACTGCTTACCAGGAAAGTACCTACAGCCTGACCCCGCCCCGTATAAAACATGTTCTTGAAAAACAGGCTGGAAGAGAGGCTGACGGTACACAGAGAGAGCCAGGGCTTTGACATTAAATGGACCTGTACCGAAACACCGCCCTACTACTTTCTATGTGTCTTGGGGCCAGTCACTTAGCGTTTGAGCCAAGCCTCAACTTCCTTGTCTGTAAAATGGGCATCCCAGCTATCATAAAGAATTGCTGTGAGGATTAAAATGAGATAATATGTTAAACAGTGCTGGGCACATTATGTAGCAAGAGATTAAAAGAGGGTGCCTATTATGAGCATAATTTATGGCATGGTTTTCAAGGGTGAACGGCATAAATCCACAACAAAAACTGTATTTAAAAAGTCTCATTTATTTTAAGGAGACACTTACCACTTACTTTTCTCCTTATCATCAATCTGTACATGTAACTTTCCTTCCCCAGAAATGAGTCAAGCGTACAATTTGCAGATTTGAAAAGCATATACTTTAAGTGACTGCACATGATTACTTCCAATTTTCCCGGAACTTGTTGCAAACTATATGAGACAGATGCTTAAGCAGTCACACTGCCTACAGTCCAGGTTTCAGTGGGTGGTTTTTGAGATGGAATAAAGTTCTTGAAGCAACATTAATCTAGATCAGCCGTGGGCAAACTACGGCCCGCGGGCCATTCGGCCCGTTTGAAATGAATAAAACTATTGGAAAAAAAAAGACCGTACCCTTTTATGTAATGATGTTTACTTTGAATTTATATTAGTTCACACAAACACTCCATCCATGCTTTTGTTCCGGCCCTCCGGTCCAGTTTAAGAACCCATTGTGGCTCTCAAGTCAAAAAGTTTGCCCACCCCTGATCTAGATGCTAAGAGCCATTACTACTTCATGCGTGGAGACTAAGCCCTTTCAATGTCCCTCAATATCTATCATTGAGGACGATAATTCAGGTCCTTCCCTGTCACTCAAAATGAGAAAGGAAAAATCTGCCTATCAGGTTTGCTGGTTCCTAGCTCTGTTTATTGTTAAAACAAGGATCAGAAAACTTGTTCTCTTAGGGACCAGACAGTAAATAACTTGGGTTTTGCAGACCACGTCTGGAGTCTGTTGCATATTCTTTTTTGTTAGTTTTCCCCCCAACTATTTAAAAATGTAAAACCCATTCCTAGCCCGAGGGCCACATATGAGCAGGCAGCAGCCAGATTGGGCTCTAGGGCTGTAACATTTAAACCAATCCCTGTTTTAAAAGTAAGCCTTTCCTGAAAAATTTCTAAGTAAATATGGGGACGTTAATATGGATCAATAAACTAAAAACAATCTCATCAAACTGATCAATGGAATTTTCACAGGTGTTATTAGGATAAAGGGAACAGAGAGAAACCTATAAAACAGAATTTAGTGTTTAATTAATAATTAAGATCATATGAAACTACCAAGAATAAAACCACACCATTTATTTAAATAATCTCACAGAAAGATGACCCTTACCGGTAACCCAAAATGCACTGCTTTCTTCACAGAATGTTCTAGCAGAACATAGCTATCGGATCTCTTCTGCCCCAGCACGTAGAGCCAGCTCTGGTAAGAGAAATCATTAACGTTTATCCTAACAATAACCATGGGTAATGTTCTATTGAACTATCAGCATGGTTGTAAGTAAGAATTAAAAGGAACAAAATAAATCCTCTAACATACTCTTTCATGAAGCATGAACCAAAATGAAGCCATCAAACACATGAAAACTACCAGACAAGCCATTGATTTTCTTCACCTTTGAGAGCAATGAGTGGCAAGGTTCTAGAAAAAAAGCATGAAGCCCCCATATGGCTTTTAATTGAAAAAGTGAGTCTCAAAGTGATGGTTAAATAAATTCTGTGTTCTATTTGTGCTTGGTGGTTATGCTTTCACAGGATAACATCTCAACCAGTTATAAGGTTAATGCCAATATTTAATGTGATAGTTTGCATTGCACTAAAATTTGTAGATAAGATCAAGCCTGGCTGGTTTGGCTCCGTGGTTGAGCATTGAACCATGAACCAAGAGGTCCCTGGTTCGATTTCCGGTCAGGGCACATGCCTGGGCTGCACGCCTGGTAGGAGGCATGCAGGAGACAGCTGATCAATAATTCTCTCTCATCATTGATGTTTCTATCTCTCTCTTCCTCTTCCTTCCTCTCTCTCGCTCTAAAATATATTTTAAAAAATACAAATATATTTTAAAAATACAAATATATTTTAAAAAAAGAATCACCACCAAAGCCAAACAAATGTCATGAATTAGGAAATAAACAAATACGGGCTGCCTTTCCTGAATTACCACGACTTCCTAACTAGTTTCCCCTCACTGCAAGAACCTTTGCTCTGACTACAAAACAATCTGATTCAAATCGGGCCTTCCAAAGGCCAACTCAACCCACGGGCAGAATTCCCAAGGCAGGAGGGTGGCCTTACCAGGCAATGCTGGAGACACACGTGGTCGTTGGACTCCTGGGCGATCCTGATTGCCTCCTGCAGGGCGAGCTCCGCCTGTTGACTAATGACAGGCTGAACATTAATATCTCATTAAGAATCACAAACATGCACAAGTAACGGAAGCAGGAAGACATCAGTACAGTAATTCATTTAAGAGCAGGTCTCTGCTTTGGAAGCTGCAGCTATGGACTTATTCCCTCAGAGGCAGTCCCTTGCCCCAGCAGCAAGAAACATTAACAGTGGATATATAGCACCTGCCCCTTCTAAGGTGGATTTCTACTAAAAGGAGCATCAGGAATTGCTTTTCTTGATCTCAGCTGCTAAGAGTTTTATTTTAACTCTTAAGGCCAGGGAAGAGGCACAGAGCGAATACGTATTTTACTTTTCATTGCATTCCCTTCTGCATTATTAAAAATTTTTTTTTTACTATAGCATTTGATGCTTCTATACTTTTTCAAAACTAGTTTTAAAAAGTATTTTGAGGATTATCCACTTCTGAGATTCCTTTTTTCTGCTCATGTAGTTCCCCTTCATCTCTGATGTCTCTCCCACCCTCTCCACTTCTGCAGAAATTCAGTCAAATATTCTTGGCCCCACTGAACTCGCACTTGTGAAAATTCCCACATAAGAGCTATCTGTACCCCATCTTGCAGTGCATAGTTAAATACTACTGTTTATTTAATCAGTGTTAACTATTTTTTTCAACTAGTTTATTAACCATAGAGAGCACAAGTAAAGTCTTAAACTTTGGCCTTTTCAGTGGCAAGTGACATAATAGAAATCTTATCAATGCTGGGTCACTGAGTATCTTAAAATCAACTTTATGGATATCACTTCTTTAGAGAAAATTTATATAAGGAATATTCTTTCAATACCAGTGCAATAGCCTCACACAATTCATTTTAATTGGGGAGAACTGAACAGTTCCAAGTAACTACTTGTTTAAATACAAAACCCAGATACATTCCTACCTAGTTTACATGTCATTTATATCCCTTCAGTAATGAGATGAGCAGAACATAGGCTATTTGAGGGCAGGAAGCATGTCTTCACACACAGGCCCCCAATAAATATCGGTTGATTTAACTTTATTGAACATGTGATGACCAAACAAATAATGGTATGTTTAGAGAAATGGCTTCTGGGAGAACTGTACACTACAATGACTAAAGAGAGATTATTTTTCCCAGTTAGGAAGAAAAGGTAGATTACCAACACAGAAACAAAGTCAGGCAAAATCCTCAAAGGACTTTATGGCTTTTCACTGCTGCTAGGCAGAAAAACCTCTGGTAAAAATTTTCAGTAACAGAATATTTCCATGTTATTTATACGACATGGCTTTGAATGCTCCGGTGAGGTATTCAAAGACTGGCCCACACACAAGCTCCAGTCTACGTCCCTTTTAAAATGCAACAACCAGAAGTTAATAGAATTTTGGGTGTTGTCTGGGTCATACAGCAAGTGCAGAACTCTCAATTCTTGAACTCTGGACATTGCTTCTATTAACACACTCTAGAGTCTCTAGTCAAAGATGCCAGTAGCAGAAACCACGTTTCTTCCAGAAAAAGCCACAGG